GGGCTGTGAGTTTTGAGAGAAGTAACAGTATCTATTATAGTCACTGGAAAACTAATAGTTGCTTTATAATTAGCAGTTGTGGCTGAACTTTTAAAAATAATTATTAGACTGTCATTTGTACAGGTGAGTGTGACCTTTCAAACATTTTTATGAAGAAGCTGTACGCCAGTTTTACTGTTGATGCTGCTGTTCTAAAATTCATAACTTCCCCTTCCATGATACCCTCATATTCTACACGTGCAATATATACACACAGGTTCCCTGGGTTGGCTTTACTACCAACAGTGTAGGAAAGAACTGCTCTCGGTACCTTAATGTTGTGTCTTGTACACCTGAGAGCCGCGGGATCCTAGAATACCGCCCTGATATTCGGGCATGGTTAGGCCCACGCGAAGATGAAGAAATGGCACATTGGTAGTCCAGGGGCTGGTACCATGGAGGGGCAATTGTGAGGTCCAGGCTGGTTTCCATGACAACAGAACAGTTGAGCGAGACGACTAGAGCCACTGAAGATGGCAAAAATGGCGATAACCTCAGGGAGGACCCCCTGAATATTTTGTCTACAACCGCCAAAGCATTTCAAGTCATTCTTGGCTTTAGGGTTTATAGAGGCAAATAGTTTCAGAAGCTTTGTTATTTCAAGAACTCACCATAACAGAAGGGATACAGAGACAAAGGACAAAGAAAGCTCTTAAAGTTATCTCTTTTCTGTCCCTTTATACTTTCTTTCTTAGCGGATAGGCTTCATCAGCTGGCCTGATACTCCACCGAGAAAATACAATAGCACGTTACAGAGCCTCGTCCTCCCTCTGCTCCCCTCAAGCACGCCTCCATCTGCACTCAAAGTCCCCCGAACACGAGGCAGCGTGGCCTCTGCACATTGCTCACCCGACTCCCTGCGCCTGTCTTCTCTCCAGGCTTCTCACTTGCCCTGGTCGCATCTCCCACTTCTCTCCACTGGATCATTATCCTAAATCAGTCGAGTACAATCTGAACTCTGCTATCATTTAAAGAAACTGCTCAACCCAATTCTTTATTTCTAGCCTACCCTCCTCCTCTCTGAGTCTTTAGAGTCAATTCTCAATCCACATCCTCTCTTTACCACCCAACACTGCCTCTACTGCTACATGGGATGTGTTCTTTCCAAGGTTAGCGACTAAACCCACCTCACTAAATCAAACGGCTTTTTAAAAACTGTGGCTGATCTCTCAGCTCTCTACCCTGCTTTCCACTGTTGTGTTCCTGGCATTTCCTTTGGTCTTAGCCACATACTCTCTGGGCTTTTCTCCCACATTCTTTAGCTCCTTCGAGGATCACTGTTGACTCAGTATTCATAATGATCTCTTTAAATATATGTTAACAATACACAAACAGCCAGCTTAGCTCAGGCCTCTCCTCTGAGTTCCGGATCCATATATCCGGTCTAATTTAATTAAACACCTTGTGAGCATTTTGAATTTGATAGGTCAGAATGAAACTACTAACCCTAGTCTCCCAAGGCTACCCTTCAACATTTCTTCCTCATGTTAAGAAATGGCACTGCTGGGGATTTAGCTCAGTCGTTCTGCCGCCTGCTTTGCAAACGCAAGGTCCCAAGTTTGATTCCCCAGTACCAAAAAACCCAAAACAAACAAACAAACAAACAAACAAAAAAAAGCAAGAACAATAAACAAAGAAATGGCACAACTAGCGCAGGTGCTTAAGCTCAAACTCTAAGGGTCCCTTTTGGCCTCCTTTCTCATCCTCCTTATCCCAGTTGTTACCCAGATCTGCCCATTGTAACTCTCACTGCCATCTCCACTGCCAATGACTTTGGCCAAGCAGCTGTCTGCTCTCACCTGGGCTCCTTAAATACCCAGGTGACCCAGATGGAGGCAACGCTGCTGCCTCGACAGCCTCCTGTTGTATCCCTGCCCCTGCCTTACTTACGTAGTGCTGGCTGCCAGTGGACCGTTAGGTGCATTGTAAGATCTGTCTCACCTCGGAGCCTTCACGCATGCTACCCTTGGCCTGAACGTCTCCCCTCCAAGCCACTCCTTTCCTTCACATACCTGCCCCGGCTAATACTTTCATGCTTTTTATGTCTCATGCAAAGAGTTTCCCTCCTTGAGGTTTACTGTAGCCAAAATCTTGAATGTCTACCTCAAACTGTCAAATGACAGTTTAAAATTGTGTCTATGTATATTTTTATATTCATGTTTCTATGTTCATATTTCCTGCACAAGACTAAAAGCTCCATGAGGCCAATAACTGCCCACATTCCTTATGACTATATATTTAGTCCTTAGACTAAGTCTAGTGACAAATACTAGTGAATAAGCACACATCCTTTCTCCTCCTGTGTAATGTCCAAGCTTTGCAGGATGACCACGTGTTTCCTACCTCTCCTGTCCTCTCTCACAGTGATGTGGAAAGATGTGACTTTACTGCTGGACAGACTGGGCTCTCACACCCATTCAGGAGCCCATTGTGTGATTTGGCCAATTGTTTAACATGTCTTCCCACCTGGAAACTAGGGAAAATAGTATCTATCTCATAATAATATATGTGAAGGTGAAACTTATATAAAATGCTGATAATAAAGGACTGTGCATTGATGTCTTCTCCAGCATTCACGCCGAAACTGCAGCAGTATTAATTCGTGTGGCCTTTGTGAAGGGATTAAATTAGGAGGGCTCCACCCACATGAATAGGGTCAACATCCCTGTAAAAGGGCTCAAAGCTAAAGGGAGCATTCTCTTCTTTAAACATGAATGAATTAAATTTATTTTTATTAGTGTATACTAATTATCTGAATACTGAATTAATTTGACCTTTTCAAGCGCACCTATAACATACTTTGCTTCGCCCTGCTGCCCTTCCCTCCTCCTTCCTCACCCCCCCTTTCCACCTTCTTTCTCTTGTTGAGTAAGGAAGGGAGCGCACACTGCCCCATCTCTCGTCTTGTGAGGTCACAGCACTCTCTACCTCCAGAGGCTGCAGTGCCCAGCTGTCATCCTAGAAGCAGAGAACAGCTGCCCAAAGACACCAGTCCTGCTGGCAACTTGATCTTGTACTCCTCATCCTCTAGAACTGGGAGAAAGGAATTTCTGCCCTTTATACATTTTCCAGTCATGAATATTTTGTTATAAAAGCATTCAATGGACTTTAGTTCTCTTTCTTCCCTTCCTTGCCCTAAACTACATATTCCTCTTACCTAACATACGCACTCAAACACACAAAATGTGAAAACATGAGAGATCCATCCTGTCCTCAGACAGGTTTCTGACTGGGACACGTCCACTGATAGTTTTGGCTTTAAAGAATGATATGCTTTACCAGCAAAGAGTATTTATAACTGTGTTTTGTTTTGTTTTGTTTTGTTTTTGGTACCAGGCATCAAACTTGGGTCCTTGCACTTGTGAGGCAGGTGATGGAACCACTGAGCCAAATCCCCAGCCCTGAGTATCTATAACTTTAAACCCAATATGTAACATCAGTCCTAAATGGCTGTATTTATTGTTATAAAATTACAATAGATACTATAAGGGCACCTTTTCAAATTTGTGTGGAGCTAAAACACAGAGAAGGGAGGTGGTATATATTTGACAGCAAAGAAAACTCTGCTTTTTAAAAAAAACACCAGATGGCAGCACCAGATGCTGGAGGTGCGGCCGGGAGCTTTAGGTCCAAACCTGGGCGCCGGGAATGCGAAAAGTGTTTGCATTCTGAGAGATGCTCACTTGTAGAAATGATTGTGTCCCTTTAGAAAACCACGCCTATTTCACAATACAGGACAGAATGTTTAGGGACAGTGTTTTACATGATACCAGCAGCAAAATCCTAACAAAGTAACTAAGCATTACCTAATAAACAGTTATGAGGCAAAAGCTGTTTGGGTCTATAGTTACATTTATTTAACCCTGTCAACTTGTGTCCCAATTAACCTGGGAGGATCTAAAGTTAAAGAATAAATTAGTATCAGCTTCTAGAAAAAGGACAGATATTAAATGTAATTATTAAAATTTATTCATTCACCTTCAAATAAGGAGTAATAATAATAATGACATCTATTACTATATTCCACAGTATAGCTCAGAAAATTGTTTACTAAATAAACATCAAAGTTCATATTAGATAGGTGAAATATTAAAATTTAAAAAAATAATCCATAGTTTTCTGTATTGTGCATCAGCAGTTCATCTGGAATGAACACACATTTTAAAACATGCTAAATTCAGTATTGTTCAGGCAGGATTTTCTTCTTTTAGAGGAAAGAACGGCAGCACCACACTGCTCATTACGTTGTGTGGTGGGTGAGCAGCAGTCCCAGAAAGTCAGACCCTTATCAGATGCACAGGAGGGTTCTACTCCTCTTAAATACTACTAGTGGCTTTCACAGCTTTCCTGTGAGCTCTGAAAGAGTAAGTGTGGCCTCTGTCTCAGATGCTAAGCAACAGGAAAATTCAAATGCCCACCAAGATCTTGAAGGAGAGTGTGTCTCATCTGCCTTTATTTGTATTTAGATGTGATTAAAGAATAACAGAAGTATTTGTGTCATAAGAGAACTGAGCCTTTCTCTGTTGGAGGAACATTTTGAGCACAATGAGGACATTGTATTCTGTCAGTAAAATAGTCATTGTCACCTGCTGAGAGTAAACTGTTTTCCAAGTGCTACACGCATGATTCAAAAGTATTTCCTCCATTTCAGTTCAAGTTGAGCCCCCTTGAGAAACCAGTCAAGATAGATGATCTTAAGAAGTCAGATCAAGAGTTTGAGAGGAAAACTGTTCAGACAAGAGAAGAAATGAAGTGGATACTGTAAAAGCAGAATGGTCAAAAGGAATGCACTTGCTCCACGGTGAGCCCAAAGTCAGCGCTACTCTATAGAAAACCAGTGGATCACTGCACTAAAATTGACATGGCATGAAGAAGTGAAAACTTCAACTAAAAAAGAAAACAATACTATGAAGAAATGGCTTTCTGCAACAGTGAAATAGGAAATAATTTCTCTAGGTTGGGGAGCTTATGATTTTTTTTGAATCCTAAGACTTGCTTCCATTTTAATTAACCAATCCTGTTTTAGATCTGGCAGTGAAAAGTTTTAATCTGGAAACGAAAAGGGCCCTATGTTGGAGGACCTTTCTGTGTCCTCCATTGATGCCTCTGCAGCCCCCAAAGCACATCTGACAGTGTGGGTGCCAGGTGCTCACTGACAGGGGTGTTCCGGCCTGAGAGTGAGACTTGGGTGGTCTCTGCCGGCATCTCGACCTCCTCTTGGTTCCCTGGCTCTCATCTGAGTGCACAGGTCACTGAGGGGGCCACCGCTGTCCTTTGCTTCTGACATTTTCTCCTCCAGAGGACTGGGTGAGTCAGGAAGTTATCATCAGCCTCTTTTCACAGTCTTGACTGAGAAAGAACATGCTGTGCTCAGCCTGTTGGCCCCACACTTGGAGCACAAACGTGCTACAGCAACAAGCACAAGAATCCCAGTACACTTCTCCCTCTATTTGGATCTCTAACAAGAACACTGGGTAAATGCATACAATCAGAAGACAGGGTTTGTGAGTCAGAATGCTAAGGCATTTCTGATTTGTGGCCCTGAGACACAGATCTTTTTACTTTCTGTTTCCAGACCCCACACGTTTTGGAAGAAAAGCAACAGCCAGAAGATGGGAAAAACAGATCATATTTATGAGACCAGCTTGAAGCCCATGCCACACTTAAGAGTTTGGGTTTTCATCAGGCAGATAGACTAGCGTTGTTTTTTTTTTTTTTTTTTTTCTTTTCAGTTCAATGTTCACAGGAAAACTCACCCAGCATCTGTTAGTCTGAGTCTTTGATTTTAGAATCATTGTCTTGGAATCTCCTAAACCAGAAAATCCACAATCATTTCATTTAAACATGCAACCTAGGAAAAATGACTAGACCATCTACAGAGAAATAAAATAAGAAAGTAAAAGAAATATTAAAAAGAAAAGATGTCTTCCCATCCCTCTAGTTTAAAATTTCACAATTTTGAATAACTTTCGTTCCACTAAAACAATTTAAAGACTCAGCTCCTGAAGACTATAGCAGCCCTTGCTACCAAGAGCCTGTGATTTGCAAAGTTCTAGCATGTTGGGCATTTAAGTAGTAAGCTATGAAGAAAAGGCTTCTAATTTCCTGTTTTTCACCTTTTGGTGTTAGTAAGGTGACCCAGGATAGCACATCCATTTCCTGGCTTAAGTACAGGACAAAGAGTATGGTCTGTACCCTTTCTTGTGGGTGGCCTCCCTCAGAAGCATGCCTACCCATTCATAGTCACGGAAGAGCCAAATAACTTCAAGATTCAGGTTGGAGACACCTGGGATGGTGCTGGGTTAGAATGACCCATTGGGAGTCAGGACACTGTGATAGTCCCACCCAGAGTTTGGTGCAACAATAGGATTGTATACCTCCCAGAGCCATGAACATGTGTCTAGTTGTTTCATTGTCTGTGCTGAGGCTAAAAAAAGCCTGTTGTATTTGCAGAGCATGTGTATTTATGAAAGTCTGAAAGTGTTCCAATGTTTAATTACTGTTAAAGTCATTTGAGGTTTTTGACACAGATTCTATTTTAGTAAGATAAACTCAGCATAACCTGACATTGCCAAAAATAAGTTAGTTCCTAAGGTAGATGACTAAAATAAGCCAACAATAAAGATTGGCTGTTGGAATGAGAATTATACTTTGGTAATGTAGACAGATCATTAATGACTCATTTTCAAATAACAATCTCTCCCAAGGGTTATTACTCTGAGGGATGAGAGAAGAAAGGAGTCCATCTCTCCTTTAGGCAGCAAGATTGAAGAAGAATATGAGCCCATCAGGCAAAGATGTCTTTATATCTACTTTGCTGAGAGATACAGACTCTGGAATCCCAAAGGTGGGCAGCTTGGACAGGCTGCACCGAGGCAGAAATGAGCTATTCCAAGGGTTGAAGCAGCTGACGCTGAGAACAGTTTTCTCTCATTCCCCTGGAGGCAGAATGCAGCCCCAGGTACAACTAATGAATATTATAGAGCATGAATTACCTTATCAGATACACCGGGTATTGCCATGTTCTTTTGCTGCTTGGAATCGGTGGGAGCATTTAGGTCACCTTTACCTCTTAAGGTCAAATTCTGAACTTTTGGTATACGAGGTTGAGCTTGGCAACTCCTCTGGTGTACCAGAAGGTGATCTGGGGCAAAGGTCTGGCTACAGTTTGCACAGGGCACAAGATGATCTTGGCTTGATCCCTCCCGGCTGGACTGTCCAGTTGCAAGGGTCTTGGGCTTCTGTGGGAGGGGCTGGCGGTGCTCCCTAGGGAGCCGGGCATTTTCCATTTTCCACTTTTCCAGGCATTTGGGCTCATGAATAGGAAGGGACAGTGTGCCAAATTCCCTACCACAAATGTAGCAGATGAGAGTTCTTGGTCTGGCTGGGATACCACTAGAAGCTTTCTTAAAACCAGTAAGACTGTCAGAACTGTTGGGGTTTGGCATTCTGGGACCCTCACCCTTCGGCTTACAGCTTCTCTGGTGAACAAGGAAACGATCTGGAAAAAATGTGCGACCACAGGATTCACAGGGCAGCAGCTGAGCCTGGGAATTCCTAAATGCTGCCTCATTGGCTGCCTGAAGACTATAGCCCCCACTGCCACTGAGGGTCTGTGGTTTGGAGGGTTCTGGTCTTCTCAGGTGCTTGGGTAACTTCCTGTTTTCAATACGCCACTTCTCCAAGCACTGGGGCTCATGAATGGGAAGTGACTGGGACCCAAATTCTCGGCCACAGAGGTAGCATACGTGGAGCCCAGGCCTACGGGACAGTATCACAGGGGGCTGGGGCTGGCCTTCAGACATAACTCTACTTGACCGTTTTGATAGTATCACTGTCCCAGGTCTGTTTTGCTGAGCATTTGTCTTTATTTTTTCAGCAGGATTGATGAACTGTACTTCTGGCAAAAGGTTAGAGTGGGAGTCACTAGATCGGACAGCTTGGTTGATAAGGAAGGTAGGCTCTTTCGAGTGGTAGAAAGTTTGTTGCAGTTTGTTGGAAATCCTCTTCTCTTTAGCTCTTTCCATGAACAAAGAAGGCGTTCTCTAGTGCCTGATTCTAGGCCAGACTCATTCTGGATCCCTGCTTAGAGTGAAGGGTGGTGAGTTCAGCTGTCCTGGGGTTCCATATCCTTGCCAAGACCTTGTCCCAAAGACTGTGACTCAGAGCCTCACTGCAGGGCAGCATCTGAACTGTCAGCAAGTCCTCAATGAACCTTAGCTGTCTCACAGATCTGTAGAGTGAAGTGGAGAAATAAATCAAGAAGTTATTAAGCACACACACACACACACACACACACACGCACGCGCACACACACATCTTAGATCATCAGCTATAAAGGGAGTATTTTTTCTTAATTGGCCTTGTATTCTCTTTGGCTTCCATAATAATAATCAGCCCATAGGATTTGTTCGACAAACATTAAAATAAATGTGAAAAATCTTTTCATTTATGCATTGTACTGGTGTTGTACTGAAAATAGTCTTCTGCCCAAAGGCTGACAAGGCCAGCATACCAACGATACAGATGGCGAAAACCAAGATTCTGAATCCAGGGTGGCGAGGCTGAGGAAGAGGAAAACGTGATCTGGGAAAACTGGATTAATGAAGCCAACAGACCGTGTACAGGTGCATCTGTCCAAAGAGAATGTGGGTCCAGGGCGCCAGAGAAAATTCCTATCTCGGGGATTCCTGGATTTTAGTGACATAGATCCTGTTGAAAGTTATGAAAACCTATTGGCTTCTCAGGATACTTTTGAAAACAAAAAAGTAAAGATTTTGCTAATGCCGGTGCTACCAATTTTGTTGAAATTTGCTAAATATTTTTAATTGCAATACACATTTTCATGGAAGCATAGTAGTGCTGCAGAGTGTCCGTGAACCCAAGTGGAGGATCTTGGCGAGACACCTACCTATCTTCCATGGAATGAAGATGCTCAGACTTTGCTTGATGCACTTTTTGGTATCAAATTCACTTTCTTGTTTTTAACCTGTATGTCTTCAAAGTGCTTTTTATAAAAATTGGCCACTCTTTTTCTCAAACTAACCTGAGAAAGAGACTGATAAGATGGAAAAGTGGCATTATGGGCAGAAACCTAATTAGTTTTTATCATGGGGAAATCCATGAGTAAATTTTACCAGGGGTTGACAGCCAAGCCCCAAGGAAGACTGTTCTCGGAAGTACCAACACCTTGTTCATTTCCTGGATGGCTCACATCAGGGTTAGAGATCAGAACAGCCGTGTCCAGTGGCCCGCAAGCTACAAGTGGCCCTGGACAGCTACAGGAGAAATGTGGGCTCGCACAGTCTTAAACTTTTAGCATTTTCACATGATTGTTTCATGACATTTTCTCAGCTCAGTTGCCAGTGCTTGTGCTGGGGCTGTGCATGTGAGAACAAAACGCTGTGTAGGGGAGGGTTCAGTGCATGCTGGCCCTGACTCCTGTACCCATCACACACCTTTAGCTCAAATGAAACCTGCTTGTATCATAAATTACGTGCTCTTGTGCAACTTTAGTGAGTAAAGTTTTATCACAATAATTGCATTTCAGTCTACCCATGTATGTACCTGTGAAAACAGGCATTTAATGTCATTTCTTAATTTACATGAGGTCCAAGGCAAATTCTCTCCACTTATTGCAGCCCAGACCAACCAAAAGGTTGTACACTTGCTTTTGCTGAAGCATCCATTTGGATCGCAGCAGGAACTGCACTTGAAGGGAGACCATGCTCTGCACCCCACATAAACACAGGAACTCACAGAGAGCAAGCACAGCAGCGCTGCTGACATGGAAATGAGACACATCAGAATTACAAGGGACAAAAGGCTGAGATCTTAGCCCACTGCCTATATTTTTGTGCCAAGAAAAGTTTGAATCTTTGCAGTTGAGGGCATCAAATCAGGTCTGGCACGGAGAAGGAAGTTATTCCTCATTTTGACATATCCTAAGACAGTGATATTAACCCATGTGGCAAAAGAATACGTTGGTCCCAAACAGTGGCCAACAGAGAAAGTGAAACTCAGAGAAATTTATCACTTGATCTGTACCCTCCAGAAGAGAAAGTGAATCTAGGAAACCTAAGGAACAGAGTGAACATTTTCACTAGGTTTTACTAGCACATGGCTGAAATAACTCCTAAGCCACTCTGCCTTATTGTTCTGGTTTCTTGTTCAGCGAGTCCCTTTTGATTTGGCTTCCTCTTTCCCCTGATACCAAAAAGTTACAAACTCTAAAAGTACTGAAGAATACAAATTAGAAAGTCAGTGCAATCAAATAGCCTCCTTTCTGCTAAATTCTCTCTTTCAGAAGCACACATGCACATAGTGCTGTTCCCAGATTAGCACTCTGAGGGAGCCCTGTGTCTGGCCCCCAAAACCCCTCCATCTCCTTCTAATGAGTCAAGAAGTAAAATATATGTGCCACACACTGCACTAGATTTTTATATACATAATTTCAATTAATTCTCAAAGTACAACGAAGCAGGTATTATTACTTCAATTTTTTAAACAAATTATGACTCAGGAAAGTGAGTTGCCCAAGACACTTTCTAAATGACAGACCTGGAATCCTTTCCAGTTCTCTTTGGCTCCAATATGGAGTTCTTTCCATTATTCATACTGCTTAAATTCCACCAGCAGGGCTCCTTCTCTTTAGCTTTTAAACCTGTTTTAATGTACTATTCCTGTGCCTCCTGGGAAGGTAACTAAGTCTCACCAGCCTTTGTGCACTCTTCTAGGAGAAGAAAGAGGCAGGAGGGAGGAGGGAGCAGACAGCAAGATGGAAAAAACAGAAAGGATATGGCTTTTGAAGACAAGGTGTTTTCCTAAGCAGCAGATCATTTCTTCTTACTACAGATGTGGTTTTCTAGATGAAATTATTTTCCTCAATGAAATGCAGTACAGATCCTTTTCCTGCTCTCACCAACATCTTAAGAAAAGTGTACATACCCAGATAGGGGTGAGGACGGGTGAGGCAGAGCAGGGTGGGTTGGTGATGATGTGTCTAGTTTGTCTTTACGGTAGGTGCAGGGTAAGCACGAAAGCTGCCCAAGGTGGCCAAGTAGCGCTCAGTTGGCAACTAAGGCTCAACTTGGAAGAGGGCCAGGTCTTTGTTGCCCACAGTGCCTGTGTATTGAAAACATTCTCTGCAGCAAGTGTGATGGAACATCTTGAAATTCCATTTGAGTCTTCATTTTGTCTCTTTCTACTATCCCTTCTTCCTGAAATTTATCTCTTATCATGATATGAGGCATCAAAGAATAAGAGATGAGGTAGCGAGGGAAACTTTTGGAAGCTGTGATGTCTCAGCCAGTGGTTTTACTCAGGCAGTGTTCCTTGGCACAGCACGGTCAGCTGCTCTACTCTATAACTCAGCTCTAAAAGCAAAGGTGCAGGAAAATACTAAACACATATACTTAGAACACTCACAATACTGGCCTGTCCCCCAGACACATTATAAAGCAATGTTGCTGTTTTATAGTGAGAACACTTTGCAAAGCCAGCCAGCCTCATTCCAAGTTTCTGTGCAGAAATGTTCAGTCAGTTGGCCTGAATGTTTTATTTTGACCATATTTGCACAATGGGCATTTAAAGAATGTCTTGGAAGGCTCACATTTTATTGATATGATGCTTTTCTTCCATTCTTTTTGGGGTTCATGGAGAGGGAGAGGCAAATTCACCGAGATGAATGCAATAACCATGTAAATCCAAAACCCATTTTAGCATTAGAATGTCTTTTTTTAAAAAAAGAGAAAGGAAAGAATAAACCAAACGTGTGGTTAAACCTTTTAAGAAATATTTGAGGCCATTAAAATAAAATAATTATTACATGACATGTTAGTGCTGAATCCAAACTCTTAAATAGAAGAAAAAGTTGAAATAAATAGTGGTTTGTTTTCAATATTGTTTTCATGCCATTTCAGCAGCTTCCCTTTCTCCAGCCTGGTGCCCTGATGTACTCTCTGGTCTTTCTTGTCTATGAAATCTTTCAGAAAAGAGATGATAGATTCATTCACTCTCGGACTTATGAGTAATGAGCCCTCCCAGAATCTGGAGGAGATCGTCATTTGCTCAATTTCCTCAAATTAACGCAGTCCTAACTTTTAGCTGGGCACTTGTTGCCCAACTAAAATCTGCCAGTTCTTTTGTAGCTAGTGTAAGTATTGGTCAGACTTGTAAGATGTTCTTGAAAAGTGGGGCACAAACACTTTCTCTTCCTTTTCTTCATGCTGACGCTTAGAGCACGGAAGGGAGCAGCCATCTTGGGACAGATTCCATCCAGGCAACCCTCACGTGACAGGCAGAGACCTTGACAGTTTGGGCTCCTGACAAATGTGAAAGTCGCCATATGAGCTCTAGAGTATACTGGATTTTATTCAGGTGAGAGAAATGTCTATTTGTATTTCATCTATTTATTAGAGGTCACTTACATGAAAACCCAATACTAACTGAGATTAATCTATGTTGTAATAATGTTCTTTGTTTTAGCACAAAATGAATTCTAACAGTAATATTCCAAACATCAAGATCTTCCTTTTTTAAAGATAATTTTTTTTAATTTAGGATGGCATATGTTTGGGGGTAAAAACTATTGTATTAAAATATATAGCTTTCCCTGAAAATAAAGCACTTGAAATTATAAATACTAAACCAATGGTTCTTTGATTTACAACACTTCTCTTCCTAGAGATATTTTTCAAAAAAATATTTAATGACATTTTTCTTTAAGAAAATAAAAACTCTTTTTCCCTGTGGGCTTTATAAAGACCAGGAAGAGCCACTGCTACTCCAGTCATTAACTCAGGGTGGAGAAACTCCCTCCCACCTGCCCTCTGTGTGCAGCTCCTTAATGCCCAGCCCTGGATGTGGCAGGAGGGGATGAGGGTCCCTTCAGCTGAAGACATCCTCCTGTTTGTGAGCATCACTCTAGGAGCCTCCTTTATCTCTGCGGCAGCTGCTCTTTGCTGTAGAAAAGGCTGAGTTCTCTTTACAGTTTTTCCAGCACTCTTAAAAGCAGACTTATGGACCCACCCCTACCAGACACCCTCCCCAGCCCACCTCAGCTTCTCCTTAGGATCTGGACTTTAGATCTGATTTTCAACTCTACCCGCACCTCTTCTAAGTTTTAATAATTAAACCCCTTTCCTTTGATCCTTCAGTCCTGGGGGGATGGGAGCTATCACCTCCCTTAGTGCTTTTTTTAAAATCCTGTTATTTAGGTAACAACTTTATTCC